TGTTTGCATTAGTTGTTGTTTACCTTATAATAAACACTACCAGATGATGATTACCCCAACATTAATAGAGAGAAATAAGTCATGGTAAAATTAATCATAGAATGCTGATGCCAAAGAAAATAAATACATGAATAAAGGGAAATAAAAAAGAAATCTGAGTTTGTTCCACCGGGTGAAATAAGAACAAAAAGAAAAAGAGCCTGAATTATAATGATTTTACAAGCCAAGCAGCCATTTCTGTGCTTTGTGTATGTTCTGTAGGTGGATAAACGTGGCCTTGGCAAGATGGGAAGCAAGGAAGGGATTCTGCATAATACTGCAGGCCAGAGGTGAGACTTTCACAGCTCTGCACAATACATATTCAATGCATACAATGCCCTGGCTGCACTGTTGCAAGAGCCTAATTAAAATTAACTGTTCCCATACACTGGAGTATGCCTGACCCACATCCCCTGCTGGCACAGTATGCATGCTAATGCTGTGTGTGTTTGTCTGTGTGTGCGTATATGTACATGTGTGCACTGACTTGTTCGGAGCACTTGAAGAAGAAAATGAGAAATGAGATAGCAGGCTAAGTCAGTCAGACCTGGTGTGTTTAGGCAGTTGTTAAGATTTGAATGAAAGTTTGTGTGCCACTGGTGTTACTCACATTGTGGACTATAACCTGTTTACACACTCACACTGTGGGGACTCAGCCTTCCTTATGGGGACCAGATGTACGTCATTGTGTTTTAGGTGACGAAATAAGGTTGGGGTTGGGTTATGGTTAATTTTATATGATTTAAGGTTTATATAGCCAGCTTTGTGACACTGGTGCACTTGCAACAAGTTGTGTCTATGTTCCTGGTTCTGCTCATTCTTTAGATAGATTTAAATGAATTTTAAGACAGAATTTAAACTCTTTATTTAGTCATATATTGTACCTATAGTTCTTGATAATAATTTAATATAAATAATATAAATCATTATTGTCTATTCTTTGTATATTCAATACTAAATAAAACATTGTAAACCCCAATGCATGCAAAAATATTAAGTGACAAGTCCTGCAGTATAAGTGCAAGGGCATGTCCATATATAATATAAGTCTCATAGAAAGATAATAAGTGCTAAGGATAATTGCACAGATGGAGTGTTATACAGTAAGACCATCTGAAAACTTGTAATTTTCTTCTCCCATACAGGGTATATACAGTAGTATACCTGTGGGTTTAAAGTATACTTCAGTAAGTTTCTGTTTGATTGTTTGTTTTTATCATCTGTTTCCTCAGAATTCACAGTAGTGTCTATGGCAAGTTAATTGGCTGATCATATACCACCTTGATGGGGGATGATGATTGTTGAGTGTCACTAAACCAGTGGAAGTCCTCTACACTGTATGGCCATGCTCCTATGATATCATCCAGAAAGCTATGGTAAAATCTGGGTGATTTTCAGCTGATACATTTCTCTGTGGCTTCAAATTCTCACTCACTCATCTGATGGAGCATATTCCCTCCAACTGCTAATAATACCTTTTGTCAAAAACAAAGTCACTGTTATCCAGAGACAACTGCTGCGGTTGAAGGACATCCATGTTTTTGTTAGGGTAGGTCTCCAGGAAAAGAATGTAAGTCAGTGTAATGCCCACTAAAATGATGGAAACACACCTGTGTGTGTCTGTGTTTTTGTGTGACTTTGAGGAATCATGAATTATTCACAATAACCTGAGGCATTGGTATACAGCACTGTTCTGCCTCGTGTGCACACACCATGTATGCCTCTGTGAGCCTGTACTGTAGGCGGGAAGTGTGTCAGAATGTCTGAGTTCAGTTCAGCCATATACTGGACTGCACTGACAAGCCCCTGACATTGCATGACAGAGAGAGCAATAGGGTAGAGAGCCACTAGGGAAAAGAAAAAAATCTAAAAATAAATACATAAATAAACCAAGCATCCTTAATCGTGACAGCCAGCATTACACCATGAAAAAAATGTTCAAGTCTGTGGTTCTGTTGCATTATTTTGTGACCTTGATCAGCCAATCTTAACAAAAAATAGCAATTTATATACAATGAAACAAATGAGAAGTAGAATTAGAAGTAGAACCGTGCTACATTTAATGAAAATAAGCAGTCACTGACCTTGTTGTTCAAATGAGATTGAGGAAATGATTGGGACATCTTGTCTTTTGATTTTCTATACCTGAATGCTGCACTCATACAGGAAATGCCAAATATCATTTTATAGCTACTGACTGACTTAAAAAATGAATAATACAGCAGCACTTTTTAAAATCAGCACAGGATTGCTCTGTGTTGATTCATTGCGCTAGAATCTCATTGCTTAAACAATTGAGTCCCTAAAGGGGACAGTTTTTGAGCCCTGGCTTCATATTTTATTATGTGGGTCCTCCAAAAAGGCTGCCTTCTATAGGCTCAGTGGGGACACTAAAATCCCACAGGTGGTTGGGGTTGGTGAGGTGGAAGTACTGTATGAATCCCTGAGCTTTTACTCACAGTCCAACTACTGCTGCTGGCTCATTCATTATTTAATACACCCACAAAGCTGCACATACAACTTGCTTTACTTACTTACACAACTGCATACTTTTCCACATTTTGGGATGCCAAAATTAGTCCTAAACCATAATCCAGTAACTTTCTTATAACAAACTTTGTGTTTGATATGGAAATGCTATTTTCTCAAATATTTTCCTGGTTTGTTAAAGCAGGCAGTCTGGTTTGTTGATCAGTTACTACCTACTAAGTATGTGCATGAATAATCACGTCGATTAATCATTAGATTTGATTAGTCAAGCACTGGAAAAAAAATTAATAATTTTTGGAGACATTTTTTGCATTGTACAGAAACCTTCTGCCCAGAGACATTTAAGAAGTGGCACTAATATTTTTGACACTTATGTCCATGTGCCACAAACAGTTTCCATGTAGAGCAGACGGGAGCAAAGTGTGCTGTTATTTTACCTAAGCGAAAAAAAAAGTGATCATTATGCAAGATGATGCTACAGGTTTTTTCATGGTTCTACCAACATGACAAGGAGTCATTTACAGCACTGCCACAAAAATGTTGAGCTTCAAAAGGAAAAAAAATGATACAGAGCGACAACAAAAAATGACTGGATTTATTGTTCCTAAATGATGTGACAGCAAACAACAGGAACAAATAACTGCTTAGGTGACTCAAATGATTTGAGACAATATGCCTTCTCTTAGTGTTGTCAAGGGAGTGGGATTTCAAAGGCTGATGGAGTTAGTGGAATACACTGTACCTTCATGAAAGACAATTACCGGGGGAATTGAGAAAGTGTACAAAAAAGCAGCTACCGCTCTAACAAAAACTTAGAAGCAAGGACAGTAGCAATAACCAAAGAAAAGTCATATATTTATATTAATTTTCACCAATTTCTGCAAAATATTAAGTCAAGAAATCTAGTTTTCTAGAGTAGTCCATACACACCTACCGGCTAACCTACAAGTCACTGAGTCCTGGGGTGGACCAGTAAATAAACTCAAAACAAGGGAAGTAAATCATGCTTGGTCGATGTTAGGTTCACCTGAGGTGTGCATACAAGAGTTTACTTATTTACTTACGTAGGTGGTTACTTTAAAAACTGTTATGAGAAAAATTATGAAATGTAGTTCAAGCAGCTGAAAGTGCATATAGCAGCACATGCTGCTGCAATAAAGCATTTTCCTACATCAAACAAAAAATGCTCATTACTACCCAAGCAAAGTAGGAGCTTTCCAGGAGGTGGTTAGCAGATATAAACTAGCAGACTATATCTATCTATGTGTCAGTGAAAAGCTCTGGCTTTAGTTGTATTGATGAGGAGACTAGCTGGAGGAAATAAGAGGGTGTGGATCTGCCAAAATCCCATTTTCCTCCATTTTCTTTGTGGTCTGTCAGGTTCCCAGCAATTGGATGCTTTTTTTTTCTTTTTTTACTTCAGTGCAGTGCACAGTGACGGCATGCGTGACCCTGCGCTGAGCTCAGCTAGGCACAGCACAGCTACATTCTGCTGCCATGTAACACATTGAAATGAATGGGTTGGATAGCAGAGTGCAGCGCCCACTGCACCCTATCTGAAAGCCCCTTGAGTCTTTGATACAGGCTCTTTATATACACTCATCTTGTGCTCAAAAAAAAAAATTATAATTGGGTACAAATTGTATCTTGTGTGTACAGAGCCACTATCAAAAACTTATGAGCTCTGATTTTAAACCTTCAAGTTTCTGGGCTCCAAAATCTCTAAGGACCTGAAGTGTACCATCACTGTCTCATTTGGTTCAGCAACCAAACAGGACAGGAACAGACTCCAGAGGACAGTCAGGACTGGAGAAAGAATCATTCGTGCCAGCCAGCCATCCTTGGAGGACCTGTACATCTCACAGTTCAGAAGGAGGGCAGAGAAGATTTCTGCAGTCCCCTCACAAACTTCACAAACTATTTGAACTCCTCCTTCTGGACGGCGTTACAGGTCACTGTACATCAAAACAACCAGACACAAGGAGAGTTTCTTCCCCCAGGCCATCACTCTGATGAACCCATGACGGTATAACAGAACAACAACCCTCAGTGCAATACCTTGTAAATATAGCATTACATATATTTATCTGAATGAATATTTGAACGTAGTTTCTTTCTTTTTTCCTCACTGTCTTACACTGTCTCAATGCACATTGAGAGCCAATGTACCACAGTCAACATACTGTATCTGGCCAATAAAGGTTATTCTGATTCTGACTAATCTCAGAAATCTGATTTTAAAAATGACTTTTAAAAAAGTCTGAATTCTATGGAGTCAAAACTCAAATTTTATACAGTGACTCTAATCTTCTTCCGTACACACAAACATTTTGAGTGCTCACTGTTGTAAAACGTGGCATAATATGTATTTTGTTTTCTCCCCATCTCCAATCTGGGGCTCTGTTGTTTGAAGTCCATCAAGTTATAATTCAGACAACTCCACTGCAAAGAAAGAAGAACCTGCTGCTCACCATTCATTCTGACCAGGCAGTTCATGGATCCACGGCATGGGGTTTTCTCCCACAAAGCCCATGTCATCATGGGAGCTGCAGGATGATGTGGAAAGGTGAGCAGGGAGCAGGAGTGGCCTGTCGTCTTCGATAATCACAATGTTGTCTTGTGGCATGTTCACAGTTGGAGAGAGCTGGTAGTTACCTGAGAGAGAGATTAGACAGCATATATGAGCCTGCATGTATTTCTAGAAGTTTCTTCATTATTATGTAATACAACATGGCATCAATACTCAAGATTAAAAAATAAAAAAACAATTTGTCAGTGATAACTGAAACAAGTGTGAAAACATCACTGAGCATTACAGCATGTTGTACTCATGCTGAAGCAAATTATTTCATAGACACATTGGTGTAAATGTAAATTTGTCAGCAAGTTAATACTGTACACACAATTAACTCCATCTCTCTATATGTTACTCAGTAGTTTCAGTTTCAGTACTCGCTCAACTCCTTTACTGTAAGTTACCAACAATATGACCTAATGTCTGCTATCCAAATTCCATCCAGTCTTAATGTCAAAAGCCATAAATATAGATTTGGGTAGTTTCATCAACTGTTTTCTAAGGACATTTATGAGCAGTATAAGTGACTCCCTGATCTGTATTCCATCCTGCCCAACCTTCTTCACTGAGGACTTTGAATCACTCCTCTGTGGCTCCTCGGGAGTCAAAGTCAATGGGCAATGAGCTGCCATGGCTGGCACTCAGCACCAAGGGCAGGAAAAGAACTGTTCACCAGCATATGAAGAGGCATTTCAAAACAGAGTTGGATGATTAACTCAGCAAATTGCCCAGTATTATTTAAGTATAGATAAACAGTATGTACATGCATAAATACAATAAGAATCAAAGTTGAGATGAGTGATGAGGTTTAAGTCCTATTATACACCTGCATCAAATTAGACTGAAGTTTTCAGAAATGTTTCTTGTGGTCTTTCATTTCCTTTGGTTATCAGAGAACCATTTTGCAAATTTAATAGCTTGTGGTTTATCACTAACAGCAGACAACAGTATTTACTTTGGCAGGATCCCAACATGAATTGGACAAACATTTTCAGTAATTTCTCTGGGGCCTAACAAATGATTAATGCATACTGGTGAAGTATATATATACACAGTATATGTACATGCATAAATACAATAAGAATCAAAAGTTGAGATGAGTGATGTGGTTTAAGTCCTATTATACACTATATATATAGACAGCACAGAGGTACTAATCTTGGCAGCACAAGAACAAGCTCTAAGTACAAGATCAATAGATCAATAGAGACAGGGGTCTACCATACCAGACAGGACCCCTGGTGCAGGCAAAGATGCCCCTGAGACAATCCAGCACATAACAGCAGGGTGCAAGATGCTAGCAGGTAGGGCATACATGGAACGCCATAACCAAGTGGTTGGCATAGTGTACAGAAACATCTGTGCCGAGTACAGGCTAGAAGTCCCAAAGTCAAAATGGGATACACCTCCATAGGTGGTTGAGAATGACCAAGCTAAGATCCTGTGGGACTTTCAGATACAAAGTGACAAACTGGTAATGACCAACCAACCGGACATAGTAGTGGTGGACAAACATAGTGGTGGTACTGCAGAGTTACAATTTTGTTACATCAGTGATGTGGAAATTTCACTACACTAGTGAGGTGGAACAGACAGAGTATGAGAAGTAACATAACAGGAAGTGATGTTTTGTTTAAAGATGTTTGATAAAATGTTTGGTTGGTATTTGCATTCAAAATATACATTTTCTTAAAAAAGTACATCACTCGTAATCACTTTAAACTTATTCACGTCAAGAGACCACTTTTGCTAGAGGACACAGTTTTAATTAGGCACTCTGCAATTTTTCCTCTGCCAGATGTAAGAAATGTTTTCGTCAGAACCTCTTCACACAAGTGACCAACATTGCTGAAGAGTTGTTCCAGGCATTTCACTTACCACTTTCCTAAGTAGCCAAAGGGCACACACGCACATGGTTAATTGCTAATGGACAGGTTTAATCAGAGACACACTGATGCATTCCAAGGTGAAATGAATGAGAGAAGCTGCAGCACTTCCTTTTCTGCAGGTGTTAGCATAATAAACATAGACAGGAATCACAACCCAAGCAATCCTTGTAGTATAGAGCAAGTTAGCTCTGAAAATAACTGTACAGCAAAACTGAGACAATGAAGCAGACAAGACCTCAGGTGACTAGAGCAGAGCAAAAGAAAATTATTCTATCTGTGTTAGCTAGCTTGTAGGTTCATAAAACCGGGCTGAAAATGGTCAAAAGCAAAAGCCAGAGTGAAGACACAGGCACAAGCTGGAAATGGAGGTGACTTGTCAACACATTTGGGGTGATTTGGTGAAGTGAGGTGCAGATGGAGCTGCTAACTCTGTTTTAACACAACAGTCTCTTACTGGCTTCTCACAATCAGTGACAAGTGGGAAAACGTCAGGTGACAGTTCCAGTAGGGACACTTCACTTCCTATTGCCAGCCAGGCCAACAGACACTGTGTACGGGTGTGTGTGGTTGAGCTAAAACTATCTGCTGACAAAGGCAGTTAGAAGTCAAGCCTTTCAGTTTAGCAGCAATGATTCTGAATGCAAACAAAGTGCTCATGAAATTTTGTTGGTCCTCTGTTTTTCAGGGGTCACCACTTCCCACCACTGGATTCTATCCCAAATTGGGACAGGCATGAAGAGTGCACTGGCATGTGTTACCCTAGTGCTTGGGCATAGCCACTGCACCTGGGATTCTCAGGTGGTTCTCCGAGCATTAACCTGGTCCAATCCTGCTTATGTTCAAAGATTAGATGAGATCAGGCATGACGAGGGCAGCGTGATTACCAAGTGCTGATGAAATAATGATTGAAGATTCTCAGTGTCTTGTTTGTACTCTTTTATTATGCGGTCCATGCATTTGTTACTTCCAGGCTGGACTACTGTAACTCTTTACTATCAGGATGTCCCAATAATTCCCTAAAAAGCCTCCAGTTAATCCAAAATGCTGCAGCCAGAGTACTGACAGGAACTAGCAAGAGAGATCATATCTCTCCCATATTAGCTTCTCTCCACTGGCTCCATAACAGTAAGGTCTAGACCTTACTTTGTAAAGTGTCCTGACATGACTTTTGTTGTGATTTGGTGCTATACAAATAAAAATTGATTTGATTTGATTTCTTTGCGACTTGTTACATATGTAGTCAAGGACTACCTTGCTGTCTGTGTGAAAATGCACTGCATCAAACTGTATGTCCATCTTGTCCTGAATAAAATTGGCCATTTCTACTGCCAGAACTGCTGCACACAGTTCGAGCCTTGGTATTATAGGTTCAGACTGGGGAGCTAGCTTTGCCTTGCCCATTATGAATCTGACTTTAATTTTTCCGTCTTTTTGCACTGTTTTCATGTAGGCTACAGGTCCTATCACCTTAGTCGATGCGTCTGAGAACAGACATAATTCTTTGTGCACTGCTTGACTAGGTGAGGCTGATGTGTAGGTTCTTGGAACATGTAGATCTTTCAGCTCCTGAAGGGAATTTCTCCAAGTTTCCCATTTGACTTGTTTGTCCTCTGGAAGAGGCACGTCCCATTCTGCAGATTCTGAGGTAAGTTCTCTTAGCAGAGCTCTTCCTTGGATTGTGACAGGTGTCAATAGGCCCAAGGGATCAAAAATGCTGTTGACAGAGGAAAGGACACCACGCCAGGTAAATGGTTTGTTTGTGAAGGCCACAGAGTAGGTGAATGTGTCTGACTTAATTTCCCAAATGAGACCTAGGCTTCTCTGTGAAGCTGCTTGTCCACCACCAAGATCGAGGTCTTTGGCAACTGGTGCGCAATCTTCGGGGCAAAGGGCCTTTGTGACTGTCTGAGAGTTAGAAGCAAACTTGTTTACATCACCTGAGCATGAATGCAAGCACTGTTTTCACCACTGCTAACTTGGCCAGAATCAAAATGTATATTCAGCCTGTGAAGACCTTGGCAGTTCTGAAAACACTGGAGTTTTTCATGCACTCAAGTGTGTCAACTGAGAGTAAAAGAAAAGGAAAAAGCACTACAATCACAATGTTGTCACAAATGAATCAGCATCACCCATATATCTTAGACATGCATCTGATTCATGATTACCATCTATGCCACTGTAACATTTGTCACACTATAATTACAGATAACTTCTTATGCATCACACTGACACAAGCAGACACACTCCACCCACCACCTCAGCATCTACTGTTAAATACTGCTTAAAAAACACAGAAGTTAGGTGGGGTTTTTTTATGTAGGAATAACAATATATAACAATAATGTGAAGGCTTAACATATCACAGTTAACACCTAAACATATTAAAGTTGTCATTTTTCATGAATATATTTAATAAAATAAAAAATATATATTTTAAAACACAACAGTATACTGCTGCAAAATATTACTACTACTAAGTGTTCCAGTAAACAGGAGAAAGTTGTTTAAATAATGAAAGAAGCTGCAGTTGTACTATGCTCATTTTTCCTTGTAGCAGTTCAAGTTCATTTGTGTTGCCATTTCAGATGAGTTTGCAAGTTTGACATGTTGCCAAAAACATACCCAATCACCACTGAACGAACATATTAAGTGGCGGACTGGAGCGCAGTAAGCAAATACATCTTATCCACTTGTCTTTATCTATTTCACCAGGAAGCCAAAGTGTTCCCAAGCAGGAGACTTTACTGATAAGGGTTAGGGTCCTCTAGCTCTGGCTAAACTGTGCTTTATGTGTTTACTATGCTCCAGTCTGCCACTTAATATGTTCGCAAGGGAACGTGAATTTGGCAAAAATGTTACACAAAACAAACCTACTATTAGGTACAGTACACATCTGTACCATACCTAAAGTCCTGTACCAAAATGGTCTGGTAGAAATATGTGCATCTTTACTCCCCTAGTGTAGTGTCTGCGACAATGGCGTAACACTTGAAGAGTTTAGTGGTAAGTGCTTGAAGGCTAGTGGTGTAACTCTGAACTTGTGGTCTAATTTATGAGTCTTTCTCTGGCTCCATTAACTCAAATGTTTAGCTTACTCGACATGTCTCTGCAGGCGGACAATAGATAAAGGGTGGTCCAGTGAACCACGTGGACTTGTTGTCGTGGTGGCAATGACCTTGACGCATGGACTG